ACGGAGCCACCGAGTCACCCTACGGGTACCACATGGGTAAGCTGCCCCCTCGGGAGGCTTCCCCGCTGCTCCCGTTTTCCCAGCACCCTGTGCAGGAGCGCCCTGGGGCCCCCCAGGCTCCCAGGGTCCAGACCCACGGTGAGGCTGCGACCGTGCAGGAGGCAAGGGCCACCAGCCTGTGCTATTTCCCGCTTCTCGGGAAATAGTACAGCCAGAGCAATAAGTGAAAACAAGTGCTTCTGCAGGTTCCCGGTGAGGTATGGAGCTCCCAGGTGGTACCAAAGGAGAAACAGGGCGCAGGCAGAGGCATGCAGAATGATGTTTTGCTGTACGTAGTTTTCGGAAAGGAGGTGGAATTGTTATCGGTGTTTAAAATTCCATGCAGGTGATCCTGTGTGCAAAACTATTTTTGGAGCTCAAGTTTAAAAGAAATGTCTTCATACACCAAATGTATCGACCAAGTGGATAGGAGTTACCTTCCTGAGCACTTATTTTTCTGTTGTTATCAACAGTAAAGACAAATACTAATAAAAGTGGTTTTCTAGTAAAGGATCTTTGTTAAACAGCAAAGGTATTTGCTGTGAAACTGCTTGCAGTGAAAGAGCAGAAAGGGAGATTTATTTTTTTCCCCTCTTTTTTTTGCTGTCATGTTCTTAATATCAGATGAGTAGCCCTTTAAGATCAAGGTTCATGTTTGTGGTATGTTCTTTCACTTAAGCTTTTTAAAGGGCAAGATTGAAGAGCCTCATCCATGCCAGGTATATTCGGTCTGCAGCTGTGAACATTGCAGACTGATTTAAAACTAAGCTAATGGCTCAGGGAAAAGGGGATTTCTATTTTCCTTCCCTCCCATTCTTTTCACACCCCCAATCTTGTTTGCCTAGAGCATACTCTAGTTTCACTTCTTTTTTTTTTTCCTCTCATGCAAACCTATCATGCGGCTTATTAAAAAGCAAATTATCTTGTCAAATTACCCATTGCTTTAATTTACTGCCAGTATAAGTCTGTGACTCGACAATTCACTGGAAGGCTTTACATTGACTTAGGATCTGTTATTACATTGAGTTCATAGTACTGATTCATGGCAAAGAACTGGAGGGGAGGAGGAGGGTTCTCTGTGCCACTGCTTATGAGTCAGACTGTACCTTGAAGGCATCGATGTACCTTTTAAGGTGTTTGCTTAATAGTTTGCTAAATTACTCCTTGGGGTGTTGCAGTGTGTTTACTATTCGTGCTCTTCAGGTGGTTGGAGAAAAGGAACAGAAGGCTTGGGGAGAGCGTGCCCTAGCTGGGCTCTGCTCTGTACACACAATCTAATTTATAAATTCTTATGCTGAAGGAGCACTTTAGTTTCCAATGTATCTTGACCTAACTGAAAGAGAATGTTTGACCAGCTCCTGAGCTTGCGCTTTTGCATGTATACCTTGTGATGCTTGTGGTTTTGCTCTTAAGAAACAATTAAATTGTGTGGCTAACACTATAACTCTATGAATAGATTTCTTGCAGCCAAGAAATACAAATATACTTTTTGAATTATTTTGCAAGTACTTAACATTTAGCTTGGAAATTCTTCATTGCTACTAATAACTTCAAAATGTATACATACAGGGTTGTAAGTTTTACGCGCTATTTCATGGATTGTAGTCTCTTTACCAGTATATTTATCAATCAGAACTATACAAGCTTAGGCAAATATAGTAATTTGGGACCTCACAAACTCTGCGATGTAAAGGTCACTGTTTTACAGAGATGGAAAGGAGTTCTTAGCCTCGAGAAGATGGGCATGTCTGAAGAGAGGTGTGTGAGTTACAAGAGGGCAGATATAACAGATGGCACGGTAGTAAAATGTGGAAGGAATATAATCTGATTTTAATTTTATGCAGCTAGTGTCAGAATTTTTGTACAGTCAGAGCCTCAGTGTTTACACAATCATAGTATACTGTTTAGTCTCACTTAAGAAAGGATTTTAACTGTGAAAGTTCATATAAAAATTTTTCTCACTCTTCAATTTATAATGTTCTTGTGTGCATCACACTTGAAGTACTTTCAAGCACTGCATGTAAGCTGCCCAGTTTCTTTGGTGGTCTGTATCTGATATCCCTTCTCTGCCTGTATCCCCTCAGCCTTCCCTACATCATTTGAGCGTGGCTGCGTAGGATGCAGCTGTGAGGAATCTGTGCAGGCTCAAGGACTATGAAAATAGAGATGCAGGGAGAGGGATAGAGCTACACATCCTGTTAGTATTATGACTCATTTTCTAATTTAACTTATTTAAAAGCTCGATAAACACTGACTTTTTCACCATTTTCAAGTCCTTACTTAACTGCTAGGATCTACCACTTCCATAATGCCAGCTAGCTCTCTGCACTGGAAAGAGAAACTCTAGTGGTATGATAGATTCTGTCAAAATATGCCACGTGTAAGCTTCAAAATGACAAAATTTTGTTGTGGAGCTTGATGAAAGGGAGTAGCTTAGAGACTACAATGGAAGAGGAGGGAGATGATGTGGTAAAAGACGAGCAATTGTGGAGAGAGAGGAAAAGCACTGAAGGCCCTTGAAAATGAGAACAAACAAGTTAATGTGATGAAGCATGGAAATTTGGGCAGTTGTTTAAATTTGTATATGCAAGAGAGACAGAATTTATGTTTATTGCAACAGGTTATTCCCACTGCTGAAATTTAGTAAATTGAAGGTGGGAATAGGAATGTTGAGAAGTTTGGAAGGAACAAGCTACAAAGGGTGATCAAGATGAAGGATAGATCAGGCCTTGAATAAGACCAGCTGTTCAGAGAGCTTACCAGTTCTGTGGATAAAATGGGAAGGTGACCCTGGAGTTACAGGGCTGAGTTTCAGGAAGGACAGCAGCGCATTAGAGTTGAAGAAGAAAAGTTAGGATTTAGCTTTAATACAGGGTTCTTTCTTGTGCTAAACAACAGGAGGTATGACTAAGACGCACCGCAGTACTCGAAGAAGTAGAGAGACAGATTATTTATAAAGGAAGTATAGGGAAGGACAAGGTCTTGAACAAGGTGTGACCCCTCCTTTGGGAAGGGGGAGAATCTGAATGAACCCCATGGGATATTAAGAGAGGTGGAAGAAAGGCTGAGTGAGGATGAACTCGTCAGCAAAGAAGGGTCAAGGGGCTTTTGGTTGGCTGTTGCCTTCAGCAGCATGAAGGACAGTTAAGCAGACAAGAATAATGAAGGCAAAGTAAAACGTGGAGTTGACTAGAACAGTGTGTGTGTTTTGGTTTTGGGTGTTATTTTTTTAGCCATCAGATTCCTGAAGGCTTTATGTGCAGCTACGTAACTATCTCATCTCAACTCTATGGGCTCAAACTTTAATTGTATAAACCACAAATTAATTTTTCCCAGATACTTTCTTAACTATTCAGAAATAAATCTGCCATCTTTCTCATTCCCAGGAAAATATGGCAGTTGTATGTCTTACTGTTTTTTGTCAGTACACAAAAATGATACGAAATCTGGAGGCGGGAAGGAAAGCCAGCATTGTGTGATCACTCAAGTCCCTGCAAGCTGCTGCTGGTCAACAAGCCGTGGTTTGAAAGCATTTGGCGTAGTTCAACTATTAAGGAGTACAATCTCTCGGTCTCCAAATTTTTCTTAATGAGCAAAGGCCTCTGGGTTGGAAAGAAGAAGGGAAGAAGCTTGATTAACATTACAAAGTAAGGACTGCCATGGAAGATGCATTGGTGAACGTGATTCATAGAGATAATTTAGAAAGCAGTTATCCTGGAGGTGGGCAGGGAGGCAGTAAGGTTAGTTGTGTGGGTGACCTGCCTTTACAGTTCTCCCACATCTTGCCAAAACTAAAATTACAATAGATTGCACACACTTGGTCTCTAACCTGGTAAGAAAAACTGCACAAAAATTATCTTAGAGAGCTGCAGAAACTTTGCTTTTAAGCATTGTTAATTTCTCATCAGAATAAATTCAATTGCTTCTAGACTAGAACATAATACCTTAGATGTGCTGTCACTAGGTAGCCAAATATTTTGATGTTTTACGCTAGCAGATTTTTATTCAGCTGGATTCTGTTTTCGCTTTCATACTAACACATGCTTGACATGGGGACTGAAAGGAATGATTGTTCAAACCTGTGTACTCCCACTCCTTTTCTTGCGGGAACATCAGATTTAAACTGACAAATTGTCTCTCATCCTTCCTCACCTAGCAACCTTTTCATATCGTCTCAAGTTCCAATTGCAGTTGTTTGTCTTCCCATGAATTCTGTCTGTCCTTAGACTGAGAACTTCACTGGGGTATTGCTTGTTTTATCTGAGTGCTCGAAAAGATCTTGGTGTGTGATGGTTGTGGGTGTTAACGAGTGGTTGTCTTGGTCGCTAAGCGGTTAGAACGCAGGCCTGGAGTTTGATGGCCCAACCTCAAACAGACCTTATGGGGAGAGCCAGGTTACCTTATACACAGGCAGCATTTAGACTGTGGTCGTCAGCTGCTTGCATCCCAGCAGAGAAAACTTACAGTTCATGGTGGCTCTTCCTGATGGCTTAATACATGGATCAAAGCCATTCTTTGGTGTAAAAGCTGGTGTAAAAAGGAGGGAATGGGCCCTAGCTAAAATAAGGGAACAAAAGGAAATGTGGTTAACGTTGAAATTAAGACTTAGATTTGTGAGCTGACTGTGGTTTCCTCCCCTCACCCCCAACAAGACCGAATACAGAACTAATGGAAGTAAAAGTCTTACCACAAAGACTTGATGTTAAGTTTCTCTGTTCTGTCTTCATAAAACTGTTTTTTTGAAAATGTTGCTTGGCTGAAAGGAAGGGGAAATAAAACAGTTTTGTTTTCCTACCAGTATAATAATGAATAGGATGGGTTGCTTATCACCGACTTTGAAGCCATTACATTTTTCTAAACACAACA